CGGGGACGGCCGGGCCGCCGCCCATGCCCGGAATGCGCCCCCCGCGCGGCCGCCGTCCATGGAGGCGGCCGCCGTGCTGAGCAACGCCTCGGCGGCGCGCGGCAACGGGAGCGCGGGCGGCGGCCAGGGGGCCCCGCCGGGGGCGTGGGGCTGGTCCGGGCCGGCGCTGGCGGCGCAGGCGCTGCTGCTGCTGCTGATCTTCGCGCTGTCGGCGCTGGGCAACGGCGCCGTGGTGCTGGTGGTGGCGCGGCACCGGCAGCTGCGCACCGTCACCAACGCCTTCGTGCTGTCGCTGTCGCTGGCGGAGCTGCTGGCCGCGCTGCTGTGCCTGCCGCCGGCCCTGCTCAGCCTGCTCAGCGGGCGCCCGCGCGGCGCCTGGCTCTTCGGGCAGCGCCTGTGCCTGGCCAGCGCCGCGCTCCACGCCGGGCTGGGCATCGCGGCCACGCTCACCATGGCGCTGCTCGCCTTCGACCGCTACTGCGCCATCGTGCGCCAGCCGCGCCGCCGCCTGGGCCGCCGCCGGGCCGCGCAGCTGCTGGCCGGCGTCTGGCTGGCCGCCCTGGGCGTCTCGGGGCCGTGGTACCTGCTGGCGCAGGAGGACGAGGAGGAGGAGGAGCGCGCGGGCGGCGCCGCCCCCTGCATGTACGTGCTGCCCTGGAGCTCCTCGCGCCTGGGCCCGCCCTACAGCGCCACGCTGATCGCCCTCTGCTACCTGCTGCCCTTCTCGCTCATGTGCTTCTGCCACTACGGCATCTGCCGCGCCCTGCGCCTCTCGGCCCGCCGCGTGCGCCCGCTCGCCTCGCACGGGCCGCCGCCGCGCCTCCACAGCGAGAGGCGCACGGCCACCACGGTCCTCATCATGATCGTCTCCATCATCTGCTGCTGGGGGCCCTACTGCATGCTGGGCCTGGCCGCCGCCACGGGGCACGTCTCCTTCTCGCCCACCACGGACACCGTGGCCAGCTGGATGGCCTGGGCCAACGGGGCCATCAACCCGCTCATCTACGCCGCCCGCAACCCCAACATCTCCCTGCTGCTGGGGCGCAGCCGGGAGGGGGGCTACCGGGCGAGGAACAGCGCGGGCGCCCACCTGCCTGCGCCCCAGGGCCGCCGCCCGGAGGCCAGGAGCCGGGCGGAGGGCTGTGCCAGCCACGGGCAGGGCAGCCGGGGCCCCACCGGCAGCACGCTGAGCTCCTCCAGCACCACCGGCAGGGGCGAGGTGGCCACGTGGGCGTGCAAGAACCCAGCCTTGCTCTTCTGCCGCGAAGCCCAGCTCTGTGCGTCTGCTGACGTTGCCAGGATGCGGCCCAAATCGGGCACCGTCGACACCAGCCTGTGAAGCAAAGCGGTGGCGGGGCCCAGAGGCCTTGGTGGCAAGTTGTGCTGACCGGGCGAGGGAAGAGCGTCCTGACACGGCATCCACGGCGGAGGCCTGTAACCAGAGGGGATGCTGGTGAATGCACGGAGAATAACCCTACGTTGGGAGGAGGAGCACCGTGAAACAAGGCGGTCCTCGGACTCCTGCGCCTTTGGACTCCCCCTGCAGAGATTTCAACACCGTGTTCATTTTGCAGAGCTGTGAAAAAGCTGCGGCTGTTGCAGGCTGCGTGATCTGGGGTATGCTGCTTCCGGTGGGTTGACTCCAGGGTTGGCTGTGTTTTACTTAGTCCTGACTACCAGCCTGTCCCGTTGAGTCCGGAGCATGGCCGTCTCCGGATCCAGTGCAGTCGTGTTGGGGCACAGGACTTCGGACGGGTGTGCAAAACAAGGTGTGTGATGCCACAAGCTTCGCACTGAGCTGAGGGTGCAATGACTCCTGTGGAGAAACGAGAGGGTATTTTGTCTGTGCCTTCCAGAGGGTGGAAGCCTTGGGTGGGACGGCAAATGAGGGGTTCTTTGCTGCTGAAAATGGGCTTAATGGCCGCCAGGGCTGCTTATGTGAGAAGCGCCGCAACCTTTGGGGTGTTGCAGGCACTGGGCAGGAGGTGCTTGCAATAGTTGCTCAGACGAGTTCTGCACTGCACTTAACTGTTCACTAAGCTGGGCTGTGGATGAGGGGGATAACACTTCTTTTGCGATGCTTAAATGCAGGGAGAATGTCGTTTTACAGTTTTGGCTATGCTACTTTCAGCGGTTGTTTGCAGTGTCATGGTTTGTGCCTTTGGAAAGCATTTTATATATTTTGAAAGAAACGAGTGCCAGCCAGCCAGCCTTCAGCACATTTCCACTGATTTCTTCAGCAGACGGCATGAACAGTGCTTCCTATGCATGTTCTCAGGAGTAAGTCACACAGCGAATGACTCGCCACAAGTACCCATTTGAGCGCGCATGGGAATCAGAGGAACTGTTGTGCTGCTGAGCTGTGCCAGAGAGCAGAGTGTGACTTGCTGCCTAGCAAGGAAGCAGGGAACTCATCCTGTATTGCAGATCCTGGACTGAGCAGCGGGTTGGACAAGAAGATCGCCAAAGTCTCCTGATCATGAGCACCCTTTGCCATGTAGCATTATCACATTTATTGCACTATAAGTAGATTTTCTGGAGCTGCAGCCAGTTAGAGGCATAACTCAGCGAGCAAAAACACCTGGAAGCAGTGTCAGAATTTGGGGGGGCCAGTGGCATGCACGCATGTCCGCCCCCCACTCAGTGCCACTCCAGGAACCTGCAGAGTTCGGCTGCGCTGCTTCGCTTTCATGGGGGAGAGCCGTTGGAACGGGCAATCTCTCTTCTTGAATAATTGGCTGCACACAGAATTTGCCTTTCCGCAAAGCACGTCAAGAGCTGATTCTGGGCACGTAAGAGCCTGGATGAGCATCTTGTGAGAAGTAAGTGCCAAAAACAAAAAAGACACCCAGACTTGAACAAGCACTCGGCTACTTACTCCAAGAGCAAAAAGGTTCACCGCACGCTCTGAAAAGCTTAATATTTTTTGCAGGAAAAATGGGGTGGGGGGAGACCCAGGGAGTGTCCTTACGCATCGCTTGCCCCCGCACTTCCTCTGAGAGTCTGATACGAGTGCAGGTGGGTGGGCTTGTCATGGGGAGGTGGGCGCATGGCCCAGTTTATTGTGGTACAGAAAGACGGCCCTCGCGCAGTAACGTCTCGCTCACAGATGTGCATCTTCTGCAGCGTATTGCCCTCCAGATGTGCCCGACTGCAACTTGCAGAAAACCCCAGCCAGCAGTGCACTTCCATCAAGAGGAAGTGAGCCGACAGTCTGCACATGCTCCAAACAGCTGGGAATGCACGTAGGGCATCAGTCAGTGAGCAAAAACGCCCAGAGACTTGGAACGCGAGGGGGCCGGTGGTGAGCATGGCCTGCACGCTGCTCTGTCTCTTCTGCGGAAATGGACAAGGTGTGCCCTGCATCGCTTGCTAGGAGTGACGCACGTGCCTGAAACTTGGGAGGAAGCAGTAGATTGCAACGTGCCGGTCGAAACTCAGGGAGGAGGTTGTGCATTAGTTGCCTAACGGGCCTGGTGTAAGAGGTGGGCATGGTTGGGAGGTTGCTGAGGCCCCCTCGGGCCCACAGGCAGACGTTTCCCCTCCTCCTCCTCCTCCGAGTGCAGCCAAAATGTCCTACCTCTTGGACTGGCTCGGGTACAGAAGCAGTGGCAAGCAGGAGATGCTCCCTGTTTGGCAAGCAGGCAAGTGGGAGCGGGGGGGGGGGCAATCAGGGTGGGGAGGAAGGCATCCCGGGAGGCCATCTTGCAGCAGCACTGGCCTACTAGGAAAAATGAAGCAAAACGGATTTCCTCACTTCTGCTGGACCTTTTGTATGCCTCTCTTTGGCTTGGCGGGACCCCCAGGGGTGCCATGCTGCAACCCTGGCCCAGGAAGAAAGCTGGCAGACGACCCAGCTGGTCGTTGTCCCTGTTGCCGACAAATGAAGATAAGGGGGGACTCGGAATTGCATCCAAGCCATGCTAGCAGTCAAGATGCCTCCCGAGCCAAATCCGTCACAGGCCTCCTGGGCGCGCCATCTCTTCCAGGACCCATCCCAGAATAAGTGTTACCGTTGTGTTGTCATGTTTGGATTTGGCAAGTGTGGGTGTGCCTTCCATCTTTCCCACACAGGCGTTGAGGGACCTGCCCCTCTGCCGCTCCGCAGGCGCTGATTTCAAATGCAGGCGAACGCTTTAACCACGGTTAGTTAACCACCATAATTAGGTTATGAAGTGTGGGTGGTTCGTGGTGAATAAACCGTCCAGTGTTTACTGAGCAGGGTTCAGGCAACATCGGAACGCGTGGTTGGGGGGCAGTTCACGCCCACCCCATGGCACCCCTTGAACATCCATTATTGTGTTATTTGAACCAAGTCACTGTGTCTTTGTCCTCTTTGCAAATGTGACATTTTTTGTGAGAATGCAAAAACATAGAATGGTGTTGCTTTCTTTCTTTTTTGCAAGATATTAAAATACCACCTTTTCTAAACTGGTCAAAGCCTTCTCACTTAACTAAGCACCCCAGCATATAAGCCCCAGACAAGTGTTTTGGCAACACGTTTGTTTGTTGGCATTCTTTTTTCCAGAGGAGAAGGCAGCGGCTTCCTAAAGGCCTTGGTGAAAGTCTTTCACAGCTTCGTCTCAAATCATACCAACAGTGAACGGAGGGAGCCTCAGCCCTTTAGATTTCATTCCATCAGTCCAGTTTGCCCCCCTTTGCAATTTACCTGGCTGTGCGACCCACCAGTCAAGAGTCATGGAGTGACAGAAACATAGAAACAGCGCGAGTCAGAAGGGGCGTCCCGGGCCATCTGGTCTGACCTCTGGCTCCAGCCGGCTGCGCTCACGACATGCCCATCATGTGCATGTCTAGCCTATCTTTGAACACCCGCACCAATGAAAAAGGACATTTAGAATTGCATCGAATCGAACATTCGTGTACCGCTAAGCATTTCTGGTATGGGAAAAGAGCTTCCAGCCTAGTCTTGTCCAGTTAAGGAGTTCTGAAATGTCCTGTTCCCTGTGGAGCCCCTGAAAATCAACTGGAATCTCAGCAGGGAAGGGCACCGGCAGGGAGAGAGAAGGACCTTCTGTTGCTGGGAGTGAGCTGCTAGCTTTTAGGGCCCAAGGAATCACTCGCTGCCAGGAGGAAGGGCTGGAGCCGGGCTGTGGATACTCAGCCAGCCAGAGGACCGCATTCCATTTGGGAGACGCTGGGGGGACCTTGCTGCTGAGGTGGGTGGGGCCAAAGGCAAAAGGGGTGGAGCCAAACATTAGAATACCCACCTCTATTAGACTACTGTCTGTCACAGGGCCTTGGAAGAGGCTTGTTAGCATTTTAGAATGGGAAAACTGCACAATAGCTGGGAAGTGCCATAGACTTGGTGGTCAGCAGAGGAGGCTGGGCTGTTGGGGAACCCCCCCCGTGGGGGGCAGCTTGAACTTTGGGCCTGGGGTCCTGCAGCCCTGAGTAAGGAAGATGGACAGTGCGTGGTCCACTCCTCCTCTTCAACCTCCAGGTCATGAGCACCCCGGTCAAGGAAGAGAAGGCGGCGTGATGGGCTCCCCATTCAACAGTATTTCTTTCTGGGCAAGGGCCCACATTGGAGGCCACTTGGCAGGCGCTGGCAGGACAATGGCGCCTCCTTGCTGGCGCCTGGGAGAGGGATGGGTGGTCCTTGGCAGGGGCCTGGCCTGCCGCCTTGCCGAAGGCGTGAGCCGTGGGGCTGCGTCCCCCCTGCTTCCCACTCCCCTGTGCTTCCTCGCCCCTGCTCCACAAACCCCTTCAATGAGGAGGAGGTGGAGGAGGAGGCACCAGATGCCAGAGGAAGCTGGTGTGCTCCTGGGCGGGAAGGGGCAACCGTGCCCCAGGAGCTGACCGTCACGTAAAACACACGCCCCCCCCCCCAGCATGCGGGCGGACTCGAGCTCTTTCACCGACCCTGCGGCCATGAAGCGCCAGGGGGCAACGGAGGCGCCATTGCATGTGTTCGAAGGAGAGTCTGCTCTTGCTTCAAGGGGCACCGGGAAGCGGGAGGAAGTCCGGGGTCAGTCCTCAGCATCTGCAGTGCCAGGAGCAGCCCTGCTGGGTCAGACCAAAGTGACCTTCGGCCTTCAGCTTGTGCAGTGGTCAACCGACACCCTCCTTCCCATGGTCTTCAGCAATTATTATTATTATTATTATTATTATTATTATTATTATTATTATTATTACATTTCTATGCCGCCCCTTGCCGAAGCCTGGGGGCGGCTTACAACACAATACAATACAATACAAAAATAACAATATAAAATTAAAATTAATAATTTAAAATAAATAAATAAATAAAAATTTATAACCATTATAAAAGAAGTTATAAAAGAAAAGTTAGAAAAGAAGAAAAGAAAAGGAAAGGAAAGAAGTCGCCCTGGCCAGATGAATAAGTGAATATTGTTAACAATTAAAATGACGTTTAAATAAAAAGGTCTTCACCTGGCGCCGAAAAACAAATAACGACGGCACCAGGCAGACCTCACAATTGGTGTGCTTCAGTAGATTGCCTCCACTACTGAAAGGAGGGTGGGTGGGCGGGTGGAACAAACAGAAGGGAGCACGCAGTTCTCATACCTTCATTTAGTTGCCTAAGGATGTCATCCCACAGATGGCGACCATGTGAAACGGAGCCCCCCCAGAGCTGCTCTGAGAGGCTGTCTGGCCATCAGACCAAGGCAGGTTCTGCACCGCTGCTGGAATGAGATGGCCGCAGCTGACGGCAGAGGCGTGTCTTTCCCAAAGAGGCCAGGACGCCAGCTCCTCATCGTGCCAGTTCATGCCGTGTATTACCTCTCCATATCAGCAATAGCTGGAGCTGTCTGAGAAGTTTAGGAACACCTTCAAAATACATTAGGTAAACTTGCACACACAACCGTATAAGCATATCACACACGGACACACCACAATGAAAAGACAATTTTGAACAACCAACAAGAAAAAGTCAAGCTTGCTTAAAACCATAGCCTACGTTACCAGATGCAAGAGAGGAGGAAGGCTTAATCTGGGGCCAGAAAAATAACAATGTTGACTCCAGACAGGCTTCATGGTTCCACAAGTGGGGGCCACGACTGAGGAGGCCCTGCTTCTCTTTGCCACCTTCAGGGCCTCCTTTGGCGCAGGCACCTGGTGGAGGGCCTTGGATTTGGAACCTCATGTACTGCTGGAGATTCTGCTCAGGTCATGCTGGCAGGGAGGCTGTATTCAACAGCTTAAGGCGAATTCCCTCAACTCCCTGCAGCTGTGCGATCAAGTGCTTAGCACTGGGTGACATTCCATCACACTGACGCCAAGCCGCCCCGCACACAGTGCTCATTCCAAGCACAAAGCCGTGACATGTGGGCATCCGCGCTCCTCATGGCCCCTACAGGGCTGCAAATCTAGGTCTGTGCACATGCCAAAAATTAACTGCCTATCTGTCACATGCACGGAGCTCATGTCTTCCGGAAAAATAAATGCACCCAGTTAGCAGAGTGAAAAATGGCCCATTATCATTAACGAAGCATTTGGCTGTGGGCAACGGCTGAAGCCGTTCTCACACATCAGCCTCTCCTCTCCCTGTCAGCTTTCTATTGGAGACACCCTTTCCCCGCGTTGCGGGCATCCCTCCGTAAAGGCATCGTGCACCTCCATCAGCGCTTCCTGATTTGAACGCTCCAGGAAGGCAGCTGCTGCAGGAAGAAACGTTGCATGAAGCAGCCGTGCCCACGAGGTGGCAGCGCTGCCGTTTGGCGCATGCAGCAGACACGCACCGCAACACAATCTTGCTTGAATCAGGCTCTTCCCCCCCTTTTATAGGGCCACCATATCTTCCCAAGCATTCCAGCCAGTACATGGGATTTTCCTGAGGAGGGAACGGAAGTAATAGAGGAAGACCTTTCCGTTTTTTGGACACTGTGCGTGTGCGTCTCTGTGTGTGTGTGTTTTAATACAATAAATCTGTAAAAGCCACAAAGCCCCAGGGAATCTGGGCTCCGTTATGATGAATTTATGGACGTAAATGATGGCTTTCCTTAGCTAGCCAAAACAGCGCAAGAGATCCATTTGGAAACTCCACTGCTTCCCACAGCCTTCCAATCAAAAATCATGGGAGTTCCACCACCTGCCAGCAAAGTTCATCCCATAATCGTGGAAGACGGGAATGGTGGTAGGGCTGCCCGGGCGAAGAAAGTCCTCCGCACTTGGGCAAAGCCTGGCACCGTTATTGGGTAACATGTGCCAGGTTGACCTCGCAGCGAAGGGTTCGAGGCAAACCGAGCCTCGCAGGGAAGCCAGAAAACCTCGCTGGCCGCTGGGCAGCTCCCTCCATTTGCGTGCCCCAAAGGGGCATTTTCCCTACAACAGGTGAGGTGTCAGGCTCTGCAAAAGCTGCAGCTTTCGGACCACCTTTAACGGCAGCCCCGCACAGAGTGTAATCTAGTCTTGAAGTTACTAGCATGTGTAATGTCTGTGCTGAAGCTGTAATATGTAAGCTTAGGGCTGGTTTATTTGCTGATCTGTTCCATTTATTCTATACTGCCCAATAGCCAAATGCCTTTGGGAAGTTCGCATCAATTAAAATAATACAATGCAACACAACACAGCCCATAAAAGTTTAAAAGTATTCTACGCAATGCAGCAGTGGAACCAGTGACCGAGGGACAACATAGGATCGCAAGCCAGTAAAGC